TGAACCTACAACTACAACAAGTACCAAACCTGCAACGACTACAACTGAACCTACAACTACAACAACAACCAAAGCTACCACTACAACTGAACCTACAACTACAACAGCCACTAAAGCTACAACGACTACAACTGAACCTACAACTACAACAACAACCAAAGCTACCACTACAACTGAACCTACAACTACAACAACTACCAAAGCTACAACGACTACAACTGAACCTCCAACTACTACAACAACCAAAGCTACCACTACAGCTGAACCTACAACTACAACAGCCACCAAAGCTACAACGACTACATCTGAACCTACAACAACAACCAATGTTACAACGACTTCAACTGAACCTACAACCACAGTTGAGCCCACGACTACAACTACTTCCAAACCCCAAACCACTACCACTGAACCTACCACTTCTACCATTGCCTCAACCACCACATTACCTGAACCAAAATGTACCTACAAGGGTAAACTGTACAGTGGCGGTGAAGTGTGGGAAGACGACTGTCAAATTCACACCTGTGTTGCTCCTCCGTTCTTCATACATAGCAAGCCAAGGTAAGATTCATCTGGCTCGCCCTTGAAGACAGTAACAGTGTTCTAGCCTGGTGCTTTTTTTTGTATATATTGTTGAATCTGACAAATTTTCATAATTTTCTTAATGAGACTCTTAAAAGCATCATCTTTTATAATAATTGATTTATCATTTTATGATCATGCATTTAACTATGCATCTAACCTGTTGCTGTCACAAATCATACAATTTTTAATTGTGATCATTTTACTGTAATGTAAATCAGTATGTTGATATAGCACAGACAAAATAAAAAGTCGTTAAAAAGAACAAACAATGATTAAAACATGTTTAGCTTAATACCCAATAGTTGTTAAATAAACTTTTATGTCATTGGGCAAATTATAAGAGTTTCATCGGAATTAATAATTTGGATGCCGTAGTCCCAAGCCAAATGCAACACTTCTGGAATGCACCAATGGTATATAAACGAATAAAATTACCTTACCAACTTAACATTGAAAATGCAATGGGCTAGACTGAAGTTCATATGCGACATCTAATGGGTGTTGCATAAACCAGACCATTTCTTGACCTGACTTTAGTCTTATATTTCAGATGCCTCCCGCTGAGATCTGGTAGTGTTTTTAATAATTGCAAGATTGTGGAAGACCCAGAAGATCCTTGCTGTCAAAAAACAATATGTGATCCAGCCACTGTCCCACCAGAGATTTTGAAACAGACCACTCCTACTACAACAATGACAAGCAAAGTGGTCATCACAAAAACAACTTCTAAGCCTTCAACTACAACCGCTACAACTACCAGCAAACCTTCAACGACTACAACTGAAGCTACCGCTACAACAACCATCAAACCTACAACGCCTACAACTGAACCTACAACTACAACTACCACCAAACCTACAACTACTAAAACTGAACCTACAACTACAACAGCCACCAAAGCTACAACGACTACAACTGAACCTACAACTACAACAACAACCAAAGTTACAACGACTTCAACTGAACCTACAACCACAGTTGAGCCCACGACTACAACTACTTCCAAACCCCAAACCACTACCACTGAACCTACCACTTCTACCATTGCCTCAACCACCACATTACCTGAACCAAAATGTACCTACAAGGGTAAACTGTACAGTGGCGGTGAAGTGTGGGAAGATGACTGTCAAATTCACACCTGTGTTGCTCCTCCGTTTTTCATACATAGCAAGCCAAGGTAAGATACATCTGGCTCGCCCTTGAAGACAGTAACAATGGTCTAGCCTGGTGCTTTTTTTTGTATATATTGTTGAATCTGACAAATTTTCATAATTTTCTTAATGAGACTCTTAAAAGCATCATCTTTTATAATAATTGATTTATCATTTTATGATCATGCAATTTAACTATGCGTCTAACCTGTTGCTGTCACAGATCATACAATTTTTAATTATGATCATTTTACTATAATGTAAATCAGTATGTTGATATAGCACAGACAAATCAGAAAGTCGTTAAAAAGAACAAAAAATGAATAAACCATGTTTATCTTGATACCCAATAGTTGTTAAATAAACTTTTATGTCATTTTGGCAAATTATAACAGTTTCATCGGAATCAATATTTTGGATGCCGTAGTCCCAAGCCAAATGCAGCACTTCTGGAATGCATCAATGTAATATAAACGCATAACATTACCTTACCAACTTATAACATTGAAAAATGCAATTGGCAAGACTGAAATTCATATGCGCCATCTAATGGATGTTGCATAAACCAGACCATTTCTTGGCCTGACTTTAGTATTATATTTCAGATGCCTCCCGCTGACATCTGGTAGTGTTTTTAATAATTGCAAGATTGTGGAAGACCCAGAAGATCTTTGCTGTCAAAAAACAATATGTGATCCAGCCACTGCCCCACCAGAGATTTTGAAACAGACCACTCCTACTACAACAAAGACAACCAAAGTGGCCAGGACAGAAACAACTTCTAAGCCTTCAACTACAACCGCTACAACTACCAGCAAACCTTCAACTACTACAACCGAAGCAATCACTACAACAACAACCAAACCTACAATGCCTACATCTTACTCTACAACTACAACAACCACCAAAACTACAACGACTACAACTGAACCTACAACTACCACAACTACCAAAGCTACCACTACAACTGAACCTACAACTACAACAATTACCAAAGCTACAACGACTACAACTGAACCTACAACTACAACAACAACCAAAGCTACCACTACAACTGAACCTACAACTACAACAGCCACCAAAGCTACAACGACTACAACTGAACCTACAACTACAACAACAACCAAAGTTACAAAGACTTCAACTGAACCTACCACTACCAAAATCACCAAAGCTGCATCGACTACAACTGAACCTACAACCACAGTTGCGCCCAAGACTACAACTACTTCCAAACCCCAAACCACTACCACTGAACCTATCACTTCTACTATTGCCTCAACCACCACATTACCTGAACCAAAATGTACCTACAAGGGTAAACTGTACATTGGAGGTGAGGTGTGGGAAGACGACTGTCAAATTCACACCTGTGTTGCTCCTCCGTTCTTCATACATAGCAAGCCAAGGTAAGATACATCTGGCTCGCCCTTGAAGACAGTAACAATTTTAGCCTGGTGCTTTTTGGTATATATTGTTGAATCTGACAAATGTTCATAATTTTCTTAATGAGACTCTTAAAAACATCATCTTTTATAGTAATTGATTTATCATTTTATGATCATTCATTTAACTATGCATCTAACCTGTTGCTGTCACAAATCATACAATTTTTAATTATGATCATTTTACTATAACGTTAATCAGTATGTTGATATAGCACAGACAAATCAGAAAGTCGTTAAAAAGAACAAACAATGAATATAACCATGTTAAGCTTGATACCCAATAGTTGTTAAATAAACTTTTATGTCATTTGGGCAAATTATAACAGTTTCATCGGAATCAATATTTTGGATGCCGTAGTCCCAAGCCAAATGCATCACTTCTGGAATGCACCAATGTAATATAAACGCATAAAATTACCTTACCAAAACAACATTGAAAAATGCATTGGGCAAGACAGAAAAACATTTGCGATCCCTAGTGGCTGCTGCATAATCCAGAGCATTGCTTGGCCTTACTTTAATGTTTTATTTCAGATGCCTTCCACTGACATCTGGTAGTGTTTTTAATAATTGCAAGATTTTGGAAGATCCAGAAGATCCTTGCTGTCAAAAAACAATATGTGATCCAGCCACTGCCCCACCAGAGATTTTAAAACAGACCACTCCTACTACAACAAAGACAACCAAAGTGGCCATCACAAAAACAACTTCTGAGCCTTCAACTACAGCCGCTACAACTACCAGCAAACCTTCAACGACTACAACTGAAGCTACCATTACAACAACAACCAAACCTACAATGACTACAACTGAACCTACAACCACAACAACCACCAAACCTACAACAACTACAACTGAACCTACGACAACCACTAAACCTACAACGACTTCAACTGAACCTACAACAACAACAACCACCAAACCTACAACAACTACAACTGAACCTACGACAACCACTAAACCTACAACGACTTCAACTGAACCAACAACAACAACAACCACCAAACCTACAACAACTACAACTGAACCTACAACAACCACCAAACCTACAACAACTACAACTGAACCTACAACTAAAAAACCCACTAAACCTACAACGACTACAACTGAACCTACAACTACAATCACCACCAAACCTACAACAACTACAACTGAGCCTACAACTACAACCACCAAACCTACAACGACTACAAATGAACCATCAACTACAACAGCTAGCAAAGCTACCACGCCTGCAACTGAACCTACCACTACCAAAATCACCAAAGCTGCATCGACTACAACTGAACCTACAACCACAGTTGAGCACACGACTACAACTACTTCCAAACCCCAAACCACTACCACTGAACCTATCACTTCTACTATTGCTTCAACCACCACATTACCTGAACCAAAATGTACCTACAAGGGAAAACTGTACAGTGGCGGTGAAGTGTGGGAAGACGACTGTCAGATTCACACGTGTGTTGCTCCTCCGTTCTTCATACATAGCAAGCCAAGGTAAGATACATCTGGCTCGCCCTTGAAGACAGTTACAATTTTCTACCCTGGTGCTTTTTTGTATATATTGTTGAATCTGACAAATGTTCATAATTTTCTTAATGAGACTCTTAAAAACATCATCTTTTATAGTAATTGATTTATCATTTTATGATCATGCATTTAACTATGCATCTAACCTGTTGCTGTCACAAATCATACAATTTTTAATTATGATCATTTTACTATAATGCAAATCAGTATGTTGATATAGCACAGACAAATAAGAAAGACGTTAAAAAGAACAAACAATGAATATAACCATGTTAAGCCTGATACCCAATAGTTGTTAAATAAACTTTTATGTCATTTGGGCAAATTATAACAGTTTAATTGGAATCAATATTTTGGATGCCGTAGTCCCAAGCTAAATGCAACACTTCTGGAATCCACCAATGTAATATAAACGCATAAACTTACCTTACCAAGTCAACATTGAAAAATGCATTGGGCAAGACAGAAAAACATTTGCGACCCCTAGTGGCTGTTGCATAAACCAGAGCATTGCTTGGCCTTACTTTAATGTTATATTTCAGATGCCTTCCGCTGACATCTGGTAGTGTTTTTAATAATTGCAAGATTGTGGAAGACCCAGAAGATCCTTGCTGTCAAAAAACAATATGTGACCCAGCCACTGCCCCACCAGAGATTTTGAAACAGACCACTCCTACTACAACAAAGACAACCAAAGTGGCAATCACAAATACAACTTCTAAGCCTTCAACTACAACCGCTACAACTACCAGCAAACCTTCAACGACTACAACTGAAGCTACCGCTACAACAACCATCAAATCTACAATGCCTACAACTGAACCTACAACTACATATACCACCAAACCTACAACTACTACAATTGAACCTACAACTACAACAAGTACCAAACCTACAACGACTACAACTGAACCTACAACTACAACAACAACCAAAGCTACCACTACAACTGAACCTCCAACTACAACAACTACCAAAGCTACAACGACTACAACTGAACCTCCAACTACTACAACAACCAAAGCTACCACTACAGCTGAACCTACAACTACAACAGCCACCAAAGCTAAAACGGCTACAACTGAACCTACAACTACAAGAACAACCAAAGTTACAACGACTTCAACTGAACCTACATTCACAGTTGAGCCCACGCCTACAACTACTTCCAAACCCCAAACCACTACCACTGAACCTACCACTTCTACCATTGCCTCAACCACCACATTACCTGAACCAAAATGTACCTACAAGGGTAAATTGTACAGTGGCGGTGAAGTGTGGGAAGACGACTGTCAAATTCACACCTGTGTTGCTCCTCCGTTCTTCATACATAGCAAGCCAAGGTAAGATACATCTGGCTCACCCTTGAAGACAGTAACAATTTTCTAGCCTGGTGCTTTTTTGTATTTATTGTTGAATCTGACAAATGTTCATAATTTTCTTAATGAAACTCTTTAAAACATCATCTATTGTAGTAATTGATTTATCATTTTATGATCATGCATTTAACTATGCATCTAGCCTGTTGCTGTCACAAACCATACAATTTTTAATTATGATCATTTTACTATAATGTAAATCAGTATGTTGATATAGCACAGACAAATCAGAAAGTTGTTATTATAACCATGTTATGCTTGATACCCAATAGTTGTTAAATAAACTTTTATGTCATTTGGGCAAATTATAACAATTTCATCGGAATCAATATTTTAGATGCCATAGTCCCAAGCCAAATGCAGCACTTCTGGAATGCATCAATGTAATATAAACGCATAAAATTACCTTACCAACTTAACATTGAAAATTGCATTTGGCAAGACTGAAATTCATATGCGCCATCTAATGGGTGTTGTATAAACCAGACCATTTCTTGAACTGACTTTAGTCTTATATTTCAGATGCCTCCCGCTGACATCTGGTAGTGTTTTTAATAATTGCAAGATTGTGGAAGACCCAGAAGATCCTTGCTGTCAAAAAACAATATGTGACCCAGCCACTGCCCCACCAGAGATTTTGAAACAGACCACTCCTACTACAACAAAGACAACCAAAGTGGCCAGCACAGAAACAACTTCTAAACCTTCAACTGTAACCACAACAAGCACAAAACCTACACCGACTACAACTGAACGTACCACCACACCCACCACCAAACTTTCAACTTCTTCCACTGAATCTACCACTGCAACAGTCATCAAAACTACAACGACTACAACTGAAACTGCCACTACAACTACCCCTAAACCTACACCGACTACAAGTAAACCTACAACTACAACATCAACCACTATTGAGTCTACGACTACAACTACTTTTAAACCTACAACTTCTACCAAACCTACAACGACTGCCACAAACCCTACAACCACCTCCAAACCCCCAACCACTACCACTGAACCTACCACTTCTACCACTGCATTACCTGAACCAAAATGTACCTACAAGGGTAAACTGTACAGTGGCGGTGAAGAGTGGGAAGACGACTGTCAGATTCACACCTGTGTTGCTCCTCCGTTCTTTATACATAGCACGCCAAGGTAAGACACATCTGGTTTGCCTTGAAGACAGTAAATGATGTTCTATACTGATGCTATTTAGTATATATTGTTTAAGCTGAGAGATGTTCATAATGATACTATAAGGACTTGATGTGACTTTCTTTAAAGTATATTCTTTTATAATAATTGATTGATCATTTTATGACCATGTACAAAACTATGCATCAAACTTGTTGCTGTCACAAATCATGCAATTTTTAATTCTAATCATTTCTACTATGGTGCACATCTGTATGCAGATATAGCACAGACAAATCAGAAAATCGCAGAAAAGAACAAGCAATTAACATAACCAATTAATCTTTGATACCCAATACTTGTTAAATAACCTTTTATGTCATTTGAGGAGATCATAACAATTTAATGGGAATCAACATTTGGTATGCCGTGGTCCTAAGGCAAACGAAACACTTCAGAAATGCACCAATGTAATATATACGCATAAAATTACCTTATCAACTGAACACTGATAAAAATGTATTTGGCAAGACAGAAATACATATGCAACCTCTAGTGGGTGTTACATAAACCCGAAAATTGCTTGCCCTGATTGTAATCTAATATTTCAGATGCCTTCCGCTGACATCAAGTAGTGTTTTTAATAATTGCAAGATTGTGGAAGACCCAGAAGATCCTTGCTGCCAAAAAACAATATGTGACCCAGCCACTGCTCCACCAGAGATTTTGAAACCAACCACTCCTACTGCAACAAAGACAACCAAAGTGGTCATCACAGAAACAACTTCTAAGCCTTCAACTACAACCACTACAATAACCACCAAACCTACACCGACCACAACGGAACCAACAACAAGTACAACTGAGCCTACAACTACAACTACTCCAAAGCCTAAGCCAACTACAACTGGACCTACAATTACAACAACCAATAAACATACAATGACTACAACTGAACCTACCACTACAACAACCACCCAGCCTACACCAACTACAACTGAACCTACCACTACAACAACCACCAAGCCTACCCCAACTACAACTGAATCTACCACTA